ATAATATGTGAATATAAATATATTTTATTATTATTAAAATAAATCAAAGATCTTCAGAGTTTAATATAGTAACCTTCTCACCAGAGTCTTTTAATGATGACGGAGGTCCTTTGGAGATCTATGCCTGAAGATCTTTGGAGATCTCCATCAAAAAAATTTTCTGATGTATTATCAAAGGCAAAGACAGCTGTTGCATTAGGAAACTTTGCTTCAAAAATAGGAATCACTTTATAGTTGATTTGTTCTAGTAAATGCTCAATAGTCCAATAGTTTTTTTTATTTTTGCCAGACATGAGATAACAACGTGCCTCTACAGAAATATTTGAATAGAGTATTGCTTTTTCCTCACTTAGTCTCAACCGACCACAGGCCTCCTAAAAGAATTCACTTACCATAATTGATCTTCCATTCCCTTTTTTCCGCAATGGCATTTTTTTATCTGGTATCCAAATTCCTTTTTTTCCGTCATTAGAATAAAAGACACACTCATCGTGAGTAACAAGAATTAACTCTTGCTCGTCTATTTTAAGTGCTGATGAAATTGCTTCCATTTTTTCACCTTCATATCTTGTCATTCGTTGTTCTAAATTCTTTATTATTTCCAAAAAAGTATTTCGATATGCAACGACATCCTTCTGCTCATGCCCATCAAAATACAATTCTTTTTGATATTCTTTGAATTGGCATCCCAAAATATTTAACCATCGTTTTGTTATTTGCAGGCTGATTATTTTTTTAGTTCTGATATACCCTGGCAAAATAACATTATCCACATATTGTTTAAATTAAGATGGACTAATACTGTTCACCCTGACTCCTGACGTATTCATTGTTGGCATCTTAATGCGATATCTTCATCATCGACAAGCCACCAGTATTTTTGGTGTTGGCCACAATAGAAAAGTAGAAATAAGTTGTGATGCAAATAAAATTTAACCAAAAGGTGGATTCTTTTAGCTGTATATAATCTTGGAGAGATATAGATTATATTCACAGCTTCCTCGTTTGCCTTCAACTTGTTATTGCCATCATTTAGCTGTATAAAGTACTTATAGACAGCTCGTCGTTCATTATACTCAATGGCTGTGAATATTTGCCTATTCTTTAGAAGAGTTTCCTGAAGTTGAGCAATTTTTTTACAAAGCATATTGTTGTCCAACTTCTCTGAATATACCAGAGGCATAGAAGACACTGAAGACACTATAGACCCACTTGTTGAAAAAAATATGGGAGATACTGAAGTCACTATAAATCTATCCGCCAAAGAAGATATGAGAGATACTGTACTGAAAATACCATAGACCTATCAAAAAACTCACTAACTGAAAATTCTACAGTTCCAAAATAACTGGTGATTTTATGATTTTCTTTGGCAGAATTGGCAAGTATACTGGAAGGACTGAATTTACGATAATAGATTGTTTTTGGTATATCTTTTATTGTTCTTGTATTGAATGCTGTAGTAAGTAACCATATACGTATTCTCTCTTTTTCTTTGTCAACTTCTTCTTCTTTATTTTCCTCTTCTTGTACATCAAGCTTACTGTCTTTCCCTGAGACTTCCTCCAAGATTTTTTCCTCCACTTCTTTTTTTTGTCTTCTTTCAGCTAATTCCCTTCTTATATTATTGTACTCTTGAAGCTTACTATATTTTCTCTTTGGCATACTTG